CACTTTTTATGAAGAAAGTAAACAAGGTTACAGCAGGATCGCCATTGGCTTCTATTCTGAGCCATATCTGATAACGTCTCTAGCCACTGTGTTACACCATCTCTCGGACCCCAGCCAGGGAGTCGTGAAGGGCCAACAGAAGCTAGCCTTTTGCAGATTTCTTTCATACCACGACATCACGTCATACACTGACCACCTCTCCGCTTTTTCCAACCGATCCCAGAGTCGGCAAATAATGCACGACGTGAAATTCTCTGGGACGACATTCGTAGAACGTGTCCAAGTCACCGAAGTCGGTGTTTTAAGATGGTGACACCAATTGGACTATCGTCTTTGTGCTTGAGCACACGATGCCGAACCTTTGCATTACTAACATAGTGTTATCACTGAATGTTATCAATCATTCGGAGACAGCGATGATCGAACACAGAGAGTCGTCTAACATCCTCAACTCGGAGAGGCCAGGTTTCACAAGCATAGAGCAAAGCTGCTCTCACCGACGCGTTGTAGATCCGACCTTTTACAGCCAGACTAACATCACGAAGGCGCCAAAGATGGCCCAGATTGGCATAAGCCGCTCTGGCTTTCACTATACGTGCATTGATCCCATCACTCACGCCACCACCAGCACTTATTCAGCTAGCTAGATACACGAGCTTCTCGACTGCTCCTATCTGCTCACCATCCACAGTGAGTACAGGATTAGAATCTTGCCAGTCTTGTAGAAGTACTTTTAACTTCGAAGGTGCAAAGTATATACCGTACCTACGGTATGTACTTATACAGCAACTCGCTTATGGTGGAAACTCGGTTCCATCTAATCATCCATAATTTCTTGCTTTATACACAGTCAATATAAAATCTCGTCACAAACTATTATGAATCCTGTAACACAAAACCCTATGGTCAACATAATTATTTATACAGTCTTGAAACTACGTTTCAGAGTTCAGGAATCAATGATGAGAGCCACCATTCATGATCCTATGTTGGGCTGTACAGAGACATAGAACCAGGACATGAATTTCGAAGCAGTTTTTTCTTTGATGGTCCTCATTTTTGGGAGTGGTTGTTCATGTTTGGGTCTTATCGTCTCACATTCTTTTACTAGCTCTCGTGTAGTTTCGTATCTTTCATCTTCATGCAACTTATCGTTCTATATTTCGTAGTTCTTGGTATCTAATTGTATTAAAATGTTTTTTACTACCTGCACCATTTTGTTATACATTTCCTTTTCAATGATTATTTATAATTTATTTTCCATGTTTTAGGTATCTTGTGGCCACAACGTTATCACATAATTTTCTGCTAACATTGTTAACCAAAAAACTGACTTCATTTATTGACCCCTCATTTTGAAGCTATGTTATGGTGAGTGCGGTTATTAATTTTTTAAACCTATAAGAGAAGGAGCTTAGCACCAAGTAAATTAAATTGTACAAGAGAGTCGTCCAGTGCACCTGAGGTATTTGATTTTAACCTAATCTATTATTGTAGCCACCGCTGAAAAAGTACAGAACTGTTTTGCATGAAAAAAATGCTCCAGAGTATTCTCCAGTTGACTCCAACTCTTTCAGAAAGTCATCACCTGCCTGCGACTACCTCGATTCTCATGTATGTAGAAATCGTTTTATTGGAAATTTGTTTAGGAAAATCTTATTCGCAATATATTATCAAAGCCTTTTCGAGTGCCAATTATTAACTATAATGGTAAGATTTCTGCACAATACTTCTATTTTTAGGTAGTTCAAATGATGTAAGGGTCTTGGGTGTTCGTCGTAATACATCTAGGGTTGCTTTACATGACCCTTTTGAAGAAGATGCCCTAGTTTTGTATTCACCTCCGGAAGTGACAGCCCATGACGCTCTTAAACAAGAATCGTAATTATAAATATAACACACTAAATATTTTCTAGGACTAAGAAGCTAGTTCATGTCGTCGTCGACCCAATGTTATCGAAAATTCTTCGTCCTCATCAGCGTGAAGTAAGTTACTAACAGTTAGTTTATCTTGTAAGTGGATGTTAGAGAAAATCATTCATTTTTAACCAGACGTATTCAATCATTTCGTGAGTATATCTTCCCGTGTTCTAGTCAAGTTTTGCACTTATATTTTGTGAATTGCACGCGTATCTTTTGAATAAGCTATTATTGTTGATTTTATTGACAAATTCACACAAAATGTTTTGTTCCTGACTTGATTAGTTTACATTTTACCACAACACGAATTTCTATTTGTCAGTGGGAGCTGTTGCAAAAAAAGTAACACTAGTGAAAGTATGCTCGATAAACGATACGGTAAGAATATTCACTGGTGTTCTTACTTGGTTTGCATATTTCATCATTTAAGGAAATTAATTTTTTAGATTCATCTGCTTTCAAAAATGAAGAATATTTGAGCGAACAATTATTTTCGATAACTTCATCATCAGGCTCTACAGTATAAGTCCATAATTATAATATTTTACAAAGGCCAGAAATAAGGCATGTATTAATGAAATTTGACAATGTTATGTGTTAAAAAATTGGTACACTTTTGCATCTGTTATGATACTTATATATACTTCGAAATTGTATTATTTGCAAATTAGAAAAGTCATTCAATGAAGGTCAGGATGATTTGGAGTAGTGTTCAGTCACAATAAATATAATAGTATTATAGCAAAATCGAGAATGTAAAAACAAAATTGTGTGAATAAAATGCATAGTAGGAGAATTTAATCTTGTCAATTGAGATAATATTAATAATAGTGTTGTGTGAATATAATATGTAATAAGGAGATAGGGGGTGTTATCAAGGTAATTACGATCAACAAATTGGGAATGATGGATGTGAAGATTAAGATAGAGATAATCAATCTCATCTGCTTTCATTGTTCATTGTCTTCAAATATTACTTTATCATTATAGGGTGTCAAGTTTATGTATGATTGTGTTACTGGTGTACAAATACCCAACAATCATGGATGTATAATGGCAGATGAAATGGGTCTTGGCAAAACATTGCAATGTATCACATTAATCTGGACATTATTGGTTAGTGCAGTGTAATTGTTAATTCATACTTATATGTTCTGATGATGTTTTAAGTTGCTCCATGCTAAATGCGATGACAACTCAATTAAATTGTTTAGATATATCTTAAGTAACAAGTTACAAAGTGTTTGCGTAGAAAATTTTAAAATTAATTTATTTCAAAACTAAAGCAGTAAAGTCATTAAACGTAATATCGAACCTAATCATCATTATAAATTTAGTCTTCAGCATCTGACCTTGGATTAGCCGGAAGCGATAAAGCTGGATTTTTTCAATCAGAACGGGTTTTCTTTACTGATTTTGTATGGTAAATTTTTCTTCGTAATATGAAGGGCATAACCTGATCTACTTTGTGTAACGTAGCAACAGCGAAAAAATGAGTTATCGTTTAGCAATATAAGACGCCTATCGCTTAGCTATTGAGTTACAAGTTTAAACTCCATTCAATCTACTTTGGTTTGGTCAACTGGGATAATATTCCTAGCTACCAAATATATTACGGTCATAAGTTGGCACGCGAATATCATATGTATTCCGTTGACATTTGTTGAAATAAATGTCAATAAACAAGAGGTGTCACGTTCCAATACTCAAAGTTTGCATTAGATTACTTTTCTACCAAGAGAAGTTTATTTACTGCTTATTCGACAACATTCTGTGCATTATAATAATGCTGTAGACGTAAGAGTAATCTTACGAAAACATTTTTCCAAATGTTGGTTGGCTTTCTCAAATACCAAACCTAATATAAAACTCACTTCTTCATCTCTCATGAATTTGCATTACACAAGACTAAAGTTATATTAAGACAGGATGAAAAAGCTCGAGAGACAGCCTCGACATTTGTTTTGAAATATGCTTGATATGACATTGGAGAGTAGTCCGCTCTCCCTCTTAATGTTCTCACATGTAATTGCTCATTTTCCTAGTCAACCGATAAACTCCTGTTCCATTGGCTTCACTTGGTTTAGTTTTGTGTTTTAAAAACATTAGATAATATTTTAGAACACTACTGATAAGTTATTGGTGTGCTTAACTTTCCTTTGTTTTATAATTTCTCTTAGCGTCAAGGTCCGGAAGGTAATCCAATAATCGACAAGGCAGTAGTCGTTACACCTAGTAGCTTACTAAGAAATTGGTACAATGAATTTCAAAAGTGGTTACACGGGAAAATACATCCATTGGCTATTGATTCTGGGAGTAAGGAAGATATTGATAGCAAATTAGGTAAGATAATTCTCACTAGAATCGAGTAACAAATATTCATGAGAAAAAAAAGAATCTTGATTTCAAATTGTCAGTATCTTCTATTTAACCCTTTAATTAGGGCATTTTTAAACGCTGTCACTGTTCGTAGGGCCTTGTTTGTACATGCATATTTTGGACTCTTAATAAACAACGTCTTTGTTAAGTTGTATTTGATTACTATTTCCCTTCTGTTTTAATTCGAGTCAATGGCTTTATGATTGGAACAATGTGCTTACAAATATATTATTTATTTATAACAATCTACCCAATGCTCAAATCAAATTTTTGTAATGATACCTACAAATGTGCTTACAGTTCATTTACGCATACCTGAATAAATGTATCTTGCTTCCTGCTCAATATTAGTGAACGTTATCTGGGTATCGTTAACACTGATATTAACTTGATTTATTTGGTTTTCTTACTTCTCAATTTATTTCAATAGCTGGTTTTCTTTCACAAGCCGGTCGTCGAATTCCGTCGCCAATTTTAATTATCTCTTATGAAACCTTTCGATTGCATGCTTCCGTTTTACACAAAGGTTCTGTGGGTCTGGTTCTGTGTGATGAGGTAGCTTATGTTATTTCGTGTTATATTATCATAACTTCATATAATTGTAATTCTCTTGTTTAAATCTTTTAGATGATTATTTAGCATATGCTAGTAAAATCAGTCTAGAGTGACAACGGCCTAGAGCTAAAGCCAGTGAAATAACGACTGATTAGTTTAAACGTTTGATTTTTGTTTATGGATTAAAAAATTCAAAAGACTTACACATTCGTACTTCAATTCTGTCGTTCATTGAATAAAACTCTAAAGTGATATAAATGGTGACAACCGAATGTCAGAGGCTTACTAACACTAAACATTATACAGCTGTTTTCGAGATTAAGTAAATACCACGTGATTTGAATAGCCATTACAATAAAGACTTTCCAGTTTGGTATTAAACGAAGAGAACTGACGTTATTTAATTCTGCTGGCTCATTGCCCTCCATATGCTAGGATTGTGACACATGACAGTTTGCAAACATTTTTCCGTTTAAGAATTACAAGTGCCACCGGTACAATCAGTTTGTCCATTCAAGAAGAACCATCCCAAGTGTCGTCATAAACCTAATGTTGGAGGTAACGTTCTCGTCGACTGAATTTCCAGGAACTGATCTCCTACCGGAAGGTCCAGTTATCGACTTAGAATACACAGATGACGTAGTCCTATTTGGTGAAGACGCTGATAAAATTCAGTCTTTTGGACTCACTGAGCAAAAATGCCAGGATGTCTGGGATGCGTTTCTCCCCTCTAAATGCAAGCTGTTGCTTCCGGACTGGCCTGAGTCAACACCTGAAGTAAGGATAGGAAGTGAAGTAGTCGAACGCGTTGACAACACTTATTTTGGAAGTCTGATCAGTCCAAATGGGTTGGTGTCTGACGAAATCTCAGCGCGGATTCAGAAAGCTCGTCTGGCTTTTGTCAACTTATGTCATCTATGGCGAAGGCGAGATATCCGTCTACCAATTAAGGGACGCGAGTATACTGCTCAGCAGTTCGTTCTGCTTTACTTTGCGACTGCGAAACGTGGTCACTAAGGGTGGATGATATTCGTAAGTTACTAGTGTTTGATCACAGATGCCTTAGAAATATTGCTCGCAGCTGCTTGGATCACTGGGTAGGTAATAGTGAGGTTAGACGTAGGGTATTAGTGAATGATGGTAAATCAGTTAATGAAGTTGTGAATCTTCATCGACTGAGATGGTCGGGCCACGTGTTATGTATGCGTGAACACCGTTTACCACGACGCGCAATGCTAACTGGTGTTGGGGATGGTTGGAAGAAAGTTAGGGGTGGTCAAACCAAAACGTGGCATCAGTGCTTGAAGTCCCTTACTTCTGGTGTGAGCCATGTTGGTAGATGCAGACTACTTGATTGTAGTCCGCATGACTATCGTAACCAATGATTGGTGACCCTGGGTGCTATGGTTGAGAATCGATCACAATGGCATAGATGTATACACTCTTTGTCTTCCCTTAAACTGTAAGATTAAAATTGCTTTATATCTTTCTTTCTACGAACTAATTCTTTCTTCCTGTACTACATCCTTATATGCAATCTTTCTTTTATTTATTACCACTATTGAACTAAGTACTTCTATGAATTCGTTTTTCATCTTGTTGTGCTAATGAGGTATGGCAACTTGGACCGATGCATATATATGCCTGGTCCTATGTTGTAGCTGACTGACTATAGAATTACCTTAATGCTTATGTTCGTACATAAATCAAAGAACTAAGAGAGGATGAGATATTCCGGCATTATGGTGTGACAGTAGTGCTTCTTCATTAGGGAAGAATGACTGTGGCTATGCTCGGGTATTATATGGCAGCTGACTGACTGACTAACTGTAGTAAACGAAAGCTTGGTGGAGATAACCAATGTAATGTTTATTGCGAGATTGAAGTGCTTTCACAAAAGAGGAAAACTATACACTGAATACATCATTTGCACATCTTCAATTGTCCTTTACATGCTCTACATGATATTTTCAGTTCTGCTGTTGTTACAATTGCTCTCTTTTTCCCTCTCTGTTCCCTTCAACTCTCTCTTCTGGTACGCATTTCACTTCAGATTGCTACTACATGTCTGTCCACATAAGTAGCATACACCAGAATGCATCCAAGTATAGATCATAAAATGGGATCGAAAGTGATTTTACAAAATTCCAGCTTGATTACAAGAAGAGAAGAAAGTATGTAAACTTATCTGTTAGTAATTTAGCTATGTGTCTTCAGCTTTAATTTTCATCTGATATCACCTTAATTTCTCACAGTATGTAAAAAATTCATAGATGTTCACAAATCAAACCAACTGATAATGCTGCTCGAAATTCTCCTGCAGATATGTTATAACTAGCTGAAAAATGATCATATCGAATTTGTAGAAAAGTATTCGATGATATATTTAATAATATCAAGCAAAATGATTGGGATTTGATGGGCTTGCTTTGAATCGATTTGATAAACATCTTTAATATCGTCCTTAGACTCTGTATGCTCTCAAGTAACCCCACAATCTAGCGATTCCACTTTTTACGAACTCGTTAATTAATTGCTTGCATCAAAAACATTCACCTGTTTCTCGCAATAAATTGGGTTACTCCGAGTTTGCTTAAGCTTCCTTTTCTTTAAAAACGAATACTAAATTTTGTGTTTCGTCCAGAGCGTCTAGTTCCTTATTCCTCAACACTTATTATTTATCATAACCTTAGTAAATTAGAATCACTTAGTTAATCAGATCTAAGTCGGGGGATGTTTTAACATATCATTCAAATCACATCTGTAATCTTTTTCTATCTTTATTAGTAAGTTGCATTTTATTGATTGTTTTCTGTCATAACGGTGTTAAATACAATATTAATGATTAATAATCATATTATACCATATATATGTCAACATCATACAGTTAAGTGTTTATTTTAACAGATTCCTACATTATGATCATGAGTTGATGAGTGCCAAAAAACATATACACCACGCTATAAAAGTAGGAGAAACGCAGAAACTGTTGAACATTGGATTCATAGTTTTTGTACCTACAGGGCAAGTGCAGATGTGAATGCTCTTCTACAAATTATGCCTAATTACATTGCGAGCTTCTTTAAACCAACAGTTTATTCAAGAGGTTTACTGTCTTCTACATGGCTCACTGAGCTAGTCAAACTTCAATAGCATTTTATTACTTATGATCCCTTAAAATCGTTCTCCGATAATTATTGAGAAAAAATGGATGCGCAAAGCGATTTAACCACAGTCGTGCATGGTTTACCTTCAATAACTTGGGTTTTGTACGAGTTTGTGGCTTAGATTAGTTGTTTAGCTGCTCTTTTTGGTGTTGAGTAGATTTATTTAGTTAAAGGGAAGTTTTCATTGTCAATTTTAATAATTCGTATACAGCATTTTACAGTTTATTTGTTTATTTAAACAAATTTTGGTACAAAGAGACACCGAATATATATATGCTCCACCCTTCATCATTCGATTTATGTGGGAGCTGTGGCACACCCGGGTACCCAAACTGAAGCAGGTGGTTTTATCAGGGGGCCACTCCCCGAGTCTTTGATATGAAGGTCCAATCCACAAGGCAGTGGAGCAACGTTAGGAGATGAAGTCCCATGTTAGCCGGTGACCAACAATAGGTTCATACGTCATTTGTTCCCTTACGATTCTGGAGCCCATGTGCACCACTGGTTTGGAAACAGGGTTTTCTAAACCCCTTATGTGGGTCCTTCGTATCCACCAACCCGGCTAAAGCGTGAGATATTCGCTTTTTGTCCTCTTAATTTCGTAAACAACACCCCATACGCGAGAAGGCAATGAGTAGGACTTCTCTGTCAGTGACTGTATACGCATGACTATGTGAGAGCATTTCGAGAGGGAGAGCTGACTCTCCACCCTCAGTCGTACCAGGTCATTTGTGGGCCAGTTTTCTGAAGTGACTTGATTGGTTTGGAAAACTGTGGTATACCACAAAATAATGCAGTTTTTCAGTCACCTGTTCAGAAGTAAATCTTTTCTGTATAAGTTTTTTGGTTCGAAGTTTTATTACTATAGCCTCATATATCTTGTTCGGAAACCGACTACTTGTCTGTTATTTCTGGTTTTTTTTGAAAAAAAGTAAGAATAATTTTTTTTTCGAAATAATAAATCTAGATTTTTGTCATCGTTTCAATTTCACTTAAATAGGGCCATCGTTTAAAGAATTCTGAAAATCAAACATATCAAGCACTAGTTCAACTAAAATGTCCACGACGTGTACTTCTTTCTGGGACACCAATTCAGAATGATTTACTGGAGTATTTCAGTCTAGTACACTTTGTCAATATGGGATTATTGGGTACAGCCAGTGAATTTAGACGTCATTATGAAATACCCATTTTGCGTGGACGTGATGCAGATGCTACAAAGGAAGATCAAAAGAAAGGTGAAGAGATACTGCAGGAAGTATGTTTCTTGAAATTTTGTATTCCTACCTGTTCTTGTCCATGCTATGTGACGTTAATAATTTCATGGGAAAACATTCACCTGTTTCAAGATTTAAGTTCGACATATGAACATTCATTACACTCTGATTCAATAAATGTCAGTCAGTTATACACACTGTACTACCTAGCACACATGTGCATCGGTTCAAGCTACCCGATCCTATTAGCATAGCGAGATGAAATTATCCAGTAAATCCCAGTGTAACAAAATTGGTTGCAATATCAATAGTAGTAGTATGGTGCATGTTACAGATATAAGTAGTCTGTAACAACGATCGAAAGTTGAAGGCCTGTCAAAAAAGGTTAAGAAGATTGAACTGAACAACAGAGAAAGGGAAACAGAAAAGAATCAAGAAGTGAAGAATCATGAAGGATGTAAAAGACGATTGATGGAAGATTTACAAATGAGGTATTTAATGTCCTGTTTTCACATTTAACTAAAGAGCTCCGTAATCTTGCGTTAGACAATAAATTGGTTGTCCCCACCTGAATTCTCGTTCACTACAGTAGTAGCATTAGGGAAATTTACTTTCAGACTATGATTTAACAAAAAACAGTGGGTTCGTAGAGTAAAAAGGAAAGTATAATCTTAAAACTTAGGATCAAAGGGAACATAAAGAGTGAATGCACCTGAGCCATTGGGAATGACTCTAAGTCATGTCACCTAAGGTTCCTAACCATTATTTACATTAATCACACGAACATCAACCAGTTAGTTGACGGTCTCCCAAATGCTCTGGTACGACTAAGGGTGGAGAGTCAGCTCTCCCTCTCGAAATGCTCTCACATAGTCACGCGTATACAGTCACTGACAGAGAAGTCCTACTCATTGCCTTCTCGCGTATGGGGTGTTGTTTACGAAATTAAGAGGACAAAAAGCGAATATCTCACGCTTTAGCCGGGTTGGTGGATACGAAGGACCCACATAAGGGGTTTAGAAAACCCTGTTTCCAAACCAGTGGTGCACATGGGCTCCAGAATCGTAAGGGAACAAATGACGTATGAACCTATTGTTGGTCACCGGCTAACATGGGACTTCATCTCCTAACGTTGCTCCACTGCCTTGTGGATTGGACCTTCATATCAAAGACTCGGGGAGTGGCCCCCTGATAAAACCACCTGCTTCAGTTTGGGTACCCGGGTGTGCCACAGCTCCCACATAAATCGAATGATGAAGGGTGGAGCATATATATATTCGGTGCCTTCTTGTACTAATGTTTGTTTCCAAATAAAATAAATAATAAATAAATAAATTAGTCGACGCTTACCTAGATTGCTCAGTGCAACAGTCAGTGTCTTGATGGACTTTTGTAATATTCTAGTGTGGTAGGCTCTTTTTCCGCCGACGTATTTAACAAGCAAGCATCACGTAAGGAGATAGAAAATGGTTGGGCATACGTAAAACATTTTCTAACCTTCACTATCGATGAAAATTCACTACTTCATCCATAGATTTTCCATCTTTATCTAATACATTGAATGTATTCGTTAATATTGCTCACCTGATAGTCCGAATATACACGAGCAATGGTTCAAAGGCATTTTTGCTCAAATAGGAGCTGTCAATGAGCGCGCGTAGTGTGGAATTTTCTATAACAGTTAGGTATTCACCTTGGATGCTATAGCTACAAGACGTCATTAACAGACGTTGAAAGGCTTTCAAAAATATCTTGGTTACTCAGGTAAGATACAATCACTTTAACTAGTGAAGGAAACAACAATTACAAATTAATACTATTATTCATTGTTAACTTAAACAAGCTTATATGATTAGTGGAATTGTGAGATAATATTATAAGATTAATGATTAGAATAAATATGGGTTATATAGGGTGGGACAAATAATACTAAAATCAGAAACTCTATCAGATCTTTAGTGGAAGACTGTGTTGTTTATAAAGTTATATGAATTCAGTAAGAAATAATATAGTGGGGTGAGTGCTCGGGAGATTAATAGTGATGTTGAACCCATAGTAATAATAATAATAATAGCTGTTATATCACAAAGTAATTAGTCCCTTTGGTAAATTTGGATAATGTAATAAGCGGACGAAGATTATCAGAGCTATGTGATACATTAGCGCATTATATTACGAACGACCTGATCACACATAATTGTTTGGAATATTCATGTATAATAATAAAAGGTCATCTAGACAAATGGAGGCTAGGATGTTTTGTTACTTTTTTTGTCTACTACGTTGTTTTGCTGAAATGCTAGCAAGTTCTTTAATTAAATTTCAGCTGTAATTGTTGATTCATTCTCTTCTAATTCATAGTCCACATCAACATTTCCTACTATGAATCTATATTTTACTTCATGAGAGGAAATTCTAAGTTATGAATCGACTAGCATTGTATGTACTGGTGGTTTACTTAATCCTTTATTTTTTTGAGTGTAAATTTTGCCTTCTTACTAACAGAACGTTTGGATACCTTTTTTTATTTGGCATGACAATATATCATTCACTTTTATTTATTTAATCGTCTTTAAACGTAGCCTTTAACCACTTGAACGTGTCATCATTATTATTACAATTGTTACTTAACTCCTCTTGAAAAGCTTTTAGGTATTGTGACACGGTGTATTATCCGTCGGACTCAGGCTCTACTCACAAAATATTTACCTGTGAAAAGTATGTCAGTTTGTATCTTTTTGCTTCTTTTTTTACATTATTTTGTTGTCACTATATAAGGGTAATTTTTTCTTTTACCATATTTAACTTTTCCTGATTAAAGTTATTTTTCCGTGTACGTTTTCTAATTTACTATAAATCGATGTTAAATATTTTCTGAAGTATATAGCCACTTAGAGTAACGTTGAGACCAATTAGTTATAAGCAATAATGTCTGTATTTTTCTTACATCAGTTATTCAGTTGAGTCACTTATTTATTCCTATGGTCAAGTATATATTATTAATATAAACTGAAATAAACACTTTCACTTTAAAATTTGTATTCACTTAGGTTCACTTAAATTTTCGCCATTAGTCATAGTATAAACATGATAGACATTTATAAATTCACAAGGTAAAATAAAGCTCAACCAAAACAGCTGTTTATCTTTATTTGAGTTTTTAAAAGTAGTTTTGTCGTACATCATGTATTTATTTTCATAGTTAATCACTCGTACGCTTGTTGTATTTTATTGGTCATAAATAATGTAGAAACTTACAAAGTTGATAACACCGAATTATTTTCCGCTTTTGGTTCCCATTTTTATATTTGGATTCACTGTTATCAGGGTTCCACTAACTTTAAAATCTACTTACTTCACAGAAATATTCACACTTTTATTTAATTTTGATGAAATACGTCAATTTCTCCCTTGTTATTCTCCGTTTCAGTTGAACAAGTAGTTTGCTGCAATTTAGTTGGAAGTCAGCGTGAAGTGTATTCAGATTTTGTTAAACGAATGGCACGTGAAGTTTCACTGAAAATGAATAGTGCAGATGATTCGCGTAATGATAAATTATCAATGTCTAGTCTGGCGTCTATAACTCATTTAAAAAAGCTATGTAATCGTAAGTCCACTAAATATCTGAAATACAAATTAAAGTGTGTGTTTATGAGTAATGCAAAACGGTAATTAATAGCACTAACAACAAAATAATCTATTGAATGATAAAATGAAAATAATTGTTATAAAATGAATGTTACTTGTAAACTCTTTCTGAGATAACAAAGACAAATGAGTTCACTTGATTAACGAAGGTTCCTCTGCATGTGTTGGCACCAACGGGGTGATAAAAAGATAAATCCGATAGTGTTATTCAATAATAAACCGGGTCAAAACTCCAACGTAGTGAAAAGTTGCCTAGATGAATGTTATAACATTATTAAAACTTTCAATCACAGGCCGTGCCCAATAAGGTAGAACATATGACAGAGATAGCGTTAACTTGAATTACAGTGGTAGCGTGTGTATTAGTACAACCAAACAATTATCTCCATTTTTTTTACAATTTGTACAGAGAAACAACAGATGTTGAATACAAATGCGATTACATATGAATTGTTACAAATAAGGAAAAAACGTGGTCATTATTTTGTCACTACAGAATCATTGAATATACATGTCACTATATATTATAATTTTCTCTTATTACGACCCAGCTATTCCTATCGCTTAGTATTCTTGGACACCAATTCAACCGACAAGTCTTCAAATCAGAACACGGTTGAACAGGAAAGAAATCATATTACAAATAACAAGGCAGATGGAAGTAAGAAGCACAATAAGAGAAACGTCAGTATATTTATAGTTTTTTGCATGAGAGAATGATTGGATAAGAAATAGCTAATCAGTGCGCACCAACATAATCGTGCACGGAACATGCTTTAATCCAATCTATGTCCCGCTAAATATAATACTACCCGGATTCTGAATCATCATTACTAGATCTCACATTGACCCATTATGAGGATGATGTCAAAAACCTCGATTATATGCCACCCTTAGGTAAAAGTGATCATCCAGTTCTCATCTTTGACTTCCACATAGTTGCTATAAACGAGTGCACGTCAGCTCAACCCAGACCAAAAGTGTGGAAAGTAAATATATAAGGTATTGTGCACTCAGCATCCGAAGTAGATTGGTCAATAGAACCAGTCCCTAAATGAAATGTCTTGGGATATATTTCGAAATTTATACTTAAAAGTCACCGCACGTTCCTTGAAGCAAACTACATATTGGGACCGTCAACGTAAGCATCCTATGTCAAATCGGCCAGCAGGCCTCCTTGGCTAAAACCTTAGAATCTTCACCAATGCAGAATCTTGTACCATTGATGTATGCTGTGTCTCTAAAACACTCATACAGGATCCTAGTGTGGTCATTCTTTTGACCTCACCTCGCCACAACAGATTGCCGACGAGATACACCCTCCGTCTATCTGGCGACCCAACCAACGATGGACTAAAATAACATATTGCATTCAGTCATCGTTGGAGAGGCTCGATGGAAGACTGGAGCTCGTTCTAGAATACCTGTTTGGACTTTGATTTCTCTTTAATACGAGCACGTATTTGCTTGTGCCTCGCTGGACGCAAAAAAGCCACGTTAAGAAGATCCAATGGAATTGAACTGTATGACGAGAAAGCTGAATGTAGATTCCAGGAACGACTTAGGTCATACTTAGGCAGTTCTGAAGACGAGGCTGAAGTAGATGTTGCTTGGAAAGATATACGAACAGCTGTGGAAACAGTAACGACATTTATAAGTGATTTAAACCAAAGGGTTACAAAAAACCAGTGAATTTCTGCTACATCTATTGCACTGATAGATTCTCGTAAACTTATCCCATCAAGCACTGAGCACGATGAAGAGAGCAAACATCAGATCTAGGTTGACCAAAAGTTTACGGAATGATCGTGAGCAGTTGTGGGCAACGAAATCGAAAGAGATGGAAAAGGCAGTAGTTGCCGATGGATAATTCCAAGTGCATTATGATGCACATTGGTCACCACGGTACAGGTACATGCACAGTGAATAACACCCAGCTATCTGTTGTCCAGACACACAATGACTTTGGACTCATCGTTAGCCGAGACTTCAAATTTACTGCACACTGCCGTGCGATAACCGTCAAAAGTTGGAAGACCCTGTGGTCAATACGTAGGGCATTTTGCCATGTCGATGTTTAAACTTTTCTGACTCTGTATACAGCATTTGTTCGTCCCAAACTCGAGCACTACATACAAGCGGCTGGCTTGTGCCTAAAACAAGAAAGTGAACTGTTGGTAAAGGTTAAAAATACTGCAACTAAGCTGATCCTCGGAAAGGCAAAGTTCCGTTCTTGTCTTCCGAAACAGAGAATTTCTGAGGACACCAAAAAGTACACAAGCCTAGAACGAATTACTTGTCAGCTGACTATTGACTTTCCTATCGAATCATCGACAAATGGAATTCATTACCTCAACACGTGATTGAAGCTCCATCTGTCGACTCTTTCCAAAGGAGGATGGATCAACTGAGAGACCTTCATTACCAGGACTAACACAGGTGACCTAGTCCCCTGTCCTTTCCAAAGCAAACATCACGTAGCAAGATAGAAAGTGATTGGGCATACGTAAAACATGATATCGATGAAAATTCACTACTTCATCAATCGATTTTCCATCCTTATCTAATACATTGAATGTAACCCTTAATATTGCTCACTTTATGGTCATAACATACTTGAGCAGTGTTTTATTGAAGCCTATGATCAATACTCAACTTTCGTTTAGCGAATATTTTTCAGTTGAATAGTTTGTTGTCAGATTTATCAAGTGTTTCATTTTATTTATAGTGTACTTTTAATTCACTCGATACATTCTTTTGATGTACAATTGCTTTCATAATAAGAAGTATTTGTTTTCAATGTCACTTTTGTTTAGATCCAGATCTAGTATATGAGAAAATGGCAGCAAATACTGATGGCTTTCATAATGCCCTTAGTTATTTTCCAGCTAATTATCAAGGCTCACTTGAATCTAACGCTTCTGTAAAACCTGAACTATCTGGTTAGCAATTCAATTTCTGAATTATTACTTTATTTTATTAAATTAGCTGTGCTTAGATGGTTGTTTGGTTCATCGAATATTGTAGTTCAGTTATTTTTACTCTTGATTTCTTTATTTTTTGTGTAGAGTATTCATTTTCAATTATTAACTTCCACATGTATACATGATGCCTTCAACAGCGAACAGCAACCAGTGTTTTTAGACTTTTAAGAGAGAACCGACTGAAACATGAGTATGTTAGAGTAAATAAGATATAAATTAAAGTTATTCTCTGCAGTCTTCGAAATTTAATGTATTATTTAAATGCAGTCTGTTCAGGGTAACACGAGCTGTCTCTTTTTTCAATTTATTAGAAAGTATACGAATCTGTGGTATCTATAAAAAGCGCTATATCAGGAAGCCTCATAAGTGTTTCTTGGTAAATCGAAACTTGCATTCTACTAATCATTTAATAAAAATTAACGATCTCTAGACTTCATTTCATCATGTAGAAATTCCTATCCTTACAAAATAATATCATTTTAAACAAATCCTATTGTTTCAAACCGAGAAAATGGTCGGTATACACCAACGTAAACAATAAATTAATCCCACCAACTGCCATCGAATTGATGATGAAAAATTCAGGTTTCCACATTCTCTTGTAGCACTTGAAGGTGAATGAAATCATCGAACAAAAGTAAGCGCCATTGTATTGGTTGTTTGAACCGTCTCATTGGTGTTTAGGGCTGAAATTAATCATTCTGTTTTGACACATGTGCATCCTGTGCAGATTGCTTCACTGTTGCCGAGGATTTTAAAGCATTATGAGCGGATTTAGATGGTGACTATCAGTTGAATCCAGGACGCGCGTTTCGCACTGCTTGGGACTCGTCAACCTGATATGTCCGTCAAGTCGACTTGATCGATTGCAGTTCTAAACACTAGCGGGAAGTTTCAAACAACCAATACAAATGAATTAAAATTCACTCCGTTACATATGTCGGTACCTATCTGAATTCAGTATCTAACTGGATAATGCAGTGGCGTTTGAAGCGAACGTTTCTACTTTCAAGCCCCGGAGCGGCTATCAACACCGATCTGACGGGTCCCAGGTAGAACGAAATATTCATCCTGGGTTCCGCTGCTGGCCATCATTCAACTCTGCTTAAAAATTAAACTCATATAAAATAGGCCAGTCGAAGTGAAACGAAAACATTCGATATTCACGGTTGGTTCATAAAAGCAAGTGTTTTAAATTCATAACAAGATGTATCAGTAACAAGGTTGTTCAGGAAATACTCTCAAAAATTATTTCTTCAACATTTTTTATTTCTCTAACTGTTTTCATTAAGTTCCTACGTATTCTCTTTTTTCGATGAACTTTCTCTAAACATACGATGTTGAATAAAATCTTGGAAGACGAAGTAATGTTATCCTTAAGATATGAGTTAAATCATGTGTTTTAGAGGACTAATAAGTTTGTAACATGAATATCAATGCCTCTCATGTGTATTTATAGGGACTTTTATACATGCTTTACACATCAGTGGTAATTTTCTAATATTCGTTTGATTCTAGGTAAATTTCAAGTTCTTGACTGTCTTTTGGCCGTAATTAAGTCTACAACGTCTGATAAAGTTGTCCTCATTTCAAACTACACTCAAACATTGGATCTCTTTGAACGTTTGTGCCTTCAACGAGGGTGAGTTTTGATTTATCTATAGTCTTTATTGTGCCATTTAATACAAAAAACACTTCAGATTAATTCTGGAAAAAAATATACTGAAAGTATGAACATTTTGAATTTATTTATTATATATTATTTTGCTGATCCAGTATTTACATCCTGCTACAAATTAAAGTGGTTTCCTCTTACCTGTTCAACTTATTTTGTTTAGTAGCAATTTGGTAGTCTTTAAGTTTCTGCATTATTTAGTGCGTTTTATGTTTTTCTTTACAAATCCAAATCTAATTGAGTTGAAAATTAACATCACTAACTAGCTGATTCACTACGGTAAGATACATCTCACCCCTTGACTTTAATACAAATATCTGTTAGGTATAATTTCATTTGTATTATTGAGGCAGTGTTGTTGAACACCCTGTTGATTATTATCACTAGGTAATAAGTTTGAATATAATTGATGTAGAACATTATCTTATTTGTGCAATAATGATGTGCTTGTACATAGGATCATAAACAACGTCTTCATGTGTATCACAGCCGTATCTCATTAGTTTTACTAACTTTTTACGATTTGTGATAAAATATGTAACAAGTTTTGTAAGATGTTGGTCAGGTGTATTTATTCATGGCTATTCAAACGTATAAAGTGATAAAGTCTAGTTCGTATAACATAATATATGCGTCTAGACTCACAACTAGGACTTGGGAACCTCATCTTTAGTGCTAAAACAAGTTATAAACAGTTCGTTAATTTTTGTGATATTGTTACTCAACTGTGGATTTTTTTTTAGCCGGTACAGTTTTCGTTACTTTATCAAATCATCTACACCCATCTCTTTACTAAAAAAGATTAGATTTTTAAAGTTTATATTCTATAAAATTGTCTAATTAACATTTTGGAAATTATATTTTCGAGTTTCTGTATTTGCAGGTATAATTTTGTACGACTAGACGGTACAATGACAATAAAAAAACGAGCAAAAGTTGTCGAACAGTTTAACGATCCAACTGTAAGTCACTTCTTATCTGATTGCGCTATAATCTTCATAACAAATTATTCATTATTTGATTGCATTTAAGTCCGTGAACGTAGTTTGTGATGACTTTGAATAAGTATTTGCTTGAGATTTTACTGGTTTAGTAAACAGTTATTCTTTATCTTTATTTAAATTTCTAATTCCAGTGTTGTTTTATAATTTTCCTTTCACCCGATTTCATTCATGCTGTATGAATTAACTTTATTTAAAACAATTGATATTGTGTTTCCATTTTGTTAACTTCCTTTAGCTGCAGTTATGTAGACTAACATCTTGAGGATATTTCAGGTCACTATTGTCAGTGTCTGCATAGATTGATTGCTATATATATCGTCAGTTTCAAAGTGCTTTGTAAAGATTAATCACAGAAATATATGCATAGAAAGAATTCCCTTTTAGGTGAATTTTGTTATTCATTCATAAACATTTTATATGAGTATTAATGCATAATCCTAATTAATAAACAACCAGTGGTTAAATGTAATGCTCCCAAAAGTGCCCCTTTTGATTATTTTTCCCATTCTTAATATGAGTGCTTTTAAATGTTGTTCTTCAAACATTGTAATTTAATAGTATCATTGATCATAAATCTTATGTTCTGTTTACTGATTGTAGTTTTATTCATAGTGAATGTAGCCTATTATTCGTACCTATTAGATTTGAATTCTTCAATTTAGTCAATTGTATTTTATTTCTTACCCTCATAATGAATGTGACCAATAACCTAGTTTGTAGGTGTACTTGATTACCAAGACGCTTAAGCTAGCTATGTTCACATTTATACATTTGCATTTGGCTAACTACTACTAGTATTTGATGAATTTCTTGTTCATATTGTGCTAATGAGGTATGGCAACTTGAACCGATACATATATGTGCCTGGTCCTACGTTGTAGCTGATTGATTTGAGCTAACTTAAACTTTTTTTATGTAAATACATTGCTAACTAACTGTTTAATTCACTATCGCATATTTCTAACAACTATATCATTTAGTGAAATCTAATCTTTTTAATGGAGATGTGCTCCTTAAGTTGGTTAGTTTAATAGTGAAACCGTTATTGAGTTTCTGAACAACGTCTACACGAACTTCGGATAGATAAGAGGTATTAGAATTTTCGTATGTTTGACTAACAGCTTGTTTTGTTGAACTTGAATTTGATTCTAGGTATCAGTGCCAAGGTTCGATTTGATAGCTTCAAATAAATTGAGCATTGAGTAGAAAGTTAATAAAAAATATATTTTCTGTTATGTCCCAATGAGTACAAAAATTATATTTCTGACGTTTCGTGACTTAATGTAAATAAATAGGTGAAATAAATTTACACAAGTTTAAATGGTACAAAATGCAGAATGTTTTTATTACAATCAAACTTATAATAGGTCTTACTATGTCAATGTCAAGTTATTCTTGGTCAAGGTGAATTTGTATGACTAGTCACTGTATTAATTCGTGCATCAGAATGTGGGTATGAAAAGTGAAAAATGTATACATTTGTAGTATGAACTAGTGGGGTTAGAATTAGGTATGTGTATGTAGATTCTGTAGAAAATAAGTAAGGTCAAATTTGGTTGTTTGGATAAACAGTCCAGGTTGGATGAATATTCAAGCCTTCTTTCCTATTGATGGCAGAAGTACTAAGCATTATGTGAAACGCTTCGGCTACTCGCATCTCTTTATATTTGGGAAAGCCTTTCTGAAATATATTGATATTTTTAATGTCAATTTAGTGTTTACTGAAAGTAACATGTACTGCTATTGATGATTTAATCTACAGGATTATTAGGTCTTTTTGTATAACTTAAGTGTTTCCTGTCACGAATCGATATCTCATAGGAAGATTCTCCAATATATAACACATCACAATCGACACAACCTAACTTGTAGACACAATTTTGTGGGTAAGTGAACGGGATCTTATCTTTTATTCTAACTACAGCGTTTCTTAGTGTTAGTTGTCTTATGGAATGCTTTAATTTTGTACGTTTTCGTCTGGCTACCATTAGAACTCCTTTTAATTAAACAGTTCAAGAAAGGTAGTTCACTATGTTCATCTTCCTTTTCAAAAGCGAATTTAATGTGTTCTGAGAGTGTGTTTATGTGTTTTGAAAAAATTTTCTAAAAGAAGTCTTTTTATAATTACAAACGTGTCGTCTACATATCCGAGCCAGATGCGTGGTCTGATGGTGCTGGCAAAAATTAGCGACCCAATATAAGACATAAATAAATTTGTAACAATCGGAGATACTGGAGATCCAATAGCTATTCCACTCGTTTGTTTATATAAAGCCATTTTGAAAGTGAAAAGTATTGATGTCAAAAGTACAGTTTCTATTGGATTCAGTTTATTATCTAAAAGATGGTGCAAGTTTTACGATTGCACCACACAGTCCAGAGACTGTAGCTCCACGCCAATCACCTTCATGAACTACAAATCTACTGGACATTGAATCTAATTAATTTGACTGAATGCTTGTTATTTATGTTTTTCCTTCATTTTCAGTCACATGATTTTGTCTTTATGTTGAGTAGTAAAGCTGGTGGCTGTGGTCTTAATTTAATTGGTGCTAACCGTCTTGTCATGTTTGATCCTGATTGGAATCCAGCTAATGATGACCAAGCAATGGCACGTGTATGGCGCGATGGTCAGAAGAAACAGTGCTACATTTATCGTCTTATTTCGGTAGGCTTTTATCGTTTATTAACACGCTTGAACTAGTTATTACGTTATTTTATTATATTGGGTGGAAGATGGTGCTATGTCATACTGGTGCACTGCCATTCTAACCAACATTTTGTTGTCATAGAATATTTTAACTGGATGAGTATAGTGCTATAACATTAGAAGCATATTAGTATAAGCGGTTTTTAATAAATTGTTGAGGTTTGTTCCTTGTATCGCGGACTAACTTTGATTAAACAACTATTGAAAACCACAAAGCAGTGGTTAGCTGTTTGATCCTACTATAGGACTGTTATGCATCTCGCATCTATGGCCCCGTCGGAGACCTGAAAGTCTAGTCATGGTCATTTTGTGATGTAAACTGTAAAATGTGGGAAGTAATTGTTTTTATCTGAGACTTGCACATCTATTCAGTTATATCAGTATTCTGTATTGAATATCTTTTCAAATAAAACTCGTTATTCATTTTTTACTTTTACAATTGTCATGAAATTTTAGACAGGCACCATTGAAGAGAAGATGCTTCAACGCCAAGCGCATAAAAAAGCTCTTAGCAGTTGTGTAGTTGATCAACAGGAAGAAGTCGAACGTCACTTTAGTCTCGATGATTTGAGAGAGCTTTTCATGTACCATTCTGAGACGTTATCGGATACTCATGATAGGTTGGTTCAATTAATATTATTTATAAACTTGGACTATTTTGTCATTTTTAAACGTATCGTATTCATTGTATTGTGCACTTTTACCTCTAGCTCAATCCAAAATATAGAGGGTGTTGTGGTGCTGGTGTTTACACATATCTACTGTAATCTTTAATAAGTGCTGTACTTGGAATTTGTATAGAGGGTATGGTTACTACGACGGATCCTCCAGAGGCCCTAAAAGAGCCGAAATGTTTCCATCCAATCAGAACGTGATGAAGCTTTCTAGAATATCAAACTTTCGAAACCTAATTTTTCGTGTATCATATATTAAAATCTATCTTTTCAGACTTGATCATTTTTGCACACAGAATATGTTTGGGTATGCCACTTCTGTTGTGTTAACTTATATTCCTTAATCTATTAGCCGCAATTCATTTTTATGTGTAATCTTCCCCTTTGATTTTTGTTTGACCACATAAACCGTTAGTTATGTGTGGTCAAATAAAACCGTTAGTTTACTTGGAAAGATAGGGACGCTCGTCGTTGCCTGTTCGTCGTCTCTGTCTACTCTCCCACTGACTGCAGCTCAGATGATGTAAAAGATGAGTTATACAGAAAGCTTTCCGTCCTTCTCCGAAAAGCTAGGCGTTCAAATGTAGTAATAGTGGCTGGTGACTTTAATGCTCAAGTAGGTAAACTAAGCGAAAGGGAAAGATACCTGGGTGAATCCTATGGTGTCGCGGCTCAAAGAACAGATAACGGCGACCGTCTGTTGCAGCTATGCTCAGATAACCTCCTGTTTCTTGCGAACACTAACTTTAAGCATAAGGAAAAACATCTTTTAACATGGCAACCCCCTAATTCGTCCCAACGCTGGACCCGAATAGATCACATCGCTATCAGCCACCGATGGAGGGGCTCGATAGAAGACTGTCGCAGGCAACTGTTCAGACTTGTTAAGGAAACCGGTATTAGGAACCCAACTACTAGCGCAACAATCTCAGAGAAAGACGGACATATTATTCTCAATCCAGGAGATTGGATCGATGGGCAGAACACTTTAGGAATCAGTTCAACTGGCCTTCAGCCACACTTCGGTTTCCCACGATCTCCAATCTACCTGAATGGCAAGTTAATGTGAGTCCTCCGACTCTTTACCAAGTTGGAAAAGCTATAGGAAATCTGGAGCGAGGGAGAGCAGCAGGCCCTGACAGGTTTACCCCTGAGATTTTTAAGGATGGCGGTCCAGTATTAGCAGTGAGATTAACTGAGGTCTTAGGTAGAATCTGGGAACTGGACGTAATCCCATTTGACTGGTCTCAATCACTGATTGTACCAGTCTATAAGAAAGGACAAAAGTCCTTCTGTGACAATCACAGGAATTATTTGACTAATATAGTGTCTAAAATATTAGCTTCAATAATACTTCGACGTCTAACCAAAGCTCTTGAAGAGCAGACTAGAGAAAACCAGGCTGGTTTTCGACCTGGACGTGGTTGTATTGATCAAATATTCACACTACGTCAGGTCCTAGAACATAGACACACATTCAGACGCCCCACAATGATAGTATTTCTCGACCTTAAGGCGGCATTTGACTTTGTTGATCGTGAGGTTCTACGGCAGTGTTTGTCACTGAAGGGAGTACCAAAGAAGTACATTAATCTTATGAAGGCTCTCTACTCGAACACAACTGGTCGAGTGAGAGCTTATGGTGAACTGTCATCAGAATTGATTACCTCAAGTGGTGTTCGTCAGGGCTGTCCACTCTCTCCATTCTTGTTTAACTATGTTGTTGACGTCCTTTTAGAGATGACATTTTCCTCATCTAAATTTCTAGGAGTTGAACTTCTACCGGGCGATTCACTTGTTGACTTAGAGTATGCCGATGACAGTTCTATTTGGTGAAGACGCTGACAAAATGCAGAGTCTGCTGACCACTCTAAGCAACAATGCAGGCATGTTCGGCATGCGATTTTCTCCCTCGAAATGCAAAGTGTTGCTTCAGGATTGGGTTGCGTCGACACCCGAACTAGTGATAGGGAGTGAAGTAGTTGAGCGTGTCTACCGCTTCACTTATCTTGGAAGTCTCATCAGCCCTCGTGGTCTGGTGTGTGACGAAATCTCAGCACGGATACAAAAGGCTCGACTAGCTTTTGCCAACTTGCGTCATTTGTGGCGTAGGCGAGATATCTGTCTATCAACAAAAGGACGGGTTTACTGCTCAGCAGTTCGTTCTGTCCTACTTTATGGCAGTGAAACATGGCCAGTAAGAGTAGAGGATAATCGTAGGTTACTAGTATTTGATCGTAGGTGTCTTTGAAACACTGCCCGTATATTCTGGGACCACCGAGTAAGCAACTCAGTTGTTAGGAAACGGGTACTAGGTAAGGATGACAAATCAATTGATGAAGTAGTGAAACTTAATCAGTTGAGATGGTTGGGACATGTGTTGCGCATGCCCGACCACCGACTGCCCCGACGTGCGATGTTTTATGGTGTAGGAGTAGGTTGGAAGGAAGCTAGGGGCGGCCAGACCAAAACATGGCACAAATCCATGAAGTCACTGACAAGTGGACTGAGCCATGTTGGTAGATGTAGACTACTTGGTTGGGGACAGCGAGATGATAGCAACCGATGGTTAGAGACCTTGAATGACATGACTAAAAATCATTTGCAATGGCGCAGCTGCATCCACTCTCTGTGTTCTCTCAAATTCTAATCTTCTGAATTCTCCATGTCCTTTATTTTCTTTCCAAATATATTCCACTGGACTATACTCCTTAAATAACATCATCAAACCCTAATGTTCCCTATCACTACCTCTTCCACTATGGGATTTGAATTGATAACTGAATCTCTGTGCTAATGTGGTATGGCAACTCGAACTGATGTACGTACGTACGAAGTTCCACGTTGTTACTGACTGACTGAAGCGTTAGTTATCGTTAGTAGCCTAGTTTTCTTATGCACCAAAATTCTTTAGTTTATATCAATACCCGGTCTTTAGACCGTCATTGAAAATTTGGAAGCACTGAAATGCCGTTTCGTTTTGTTATGGGACTCTTTAACGGTGCACATCTATGACCCTGTTGTGACCAGTTGAGTTCAACCATGTTGATATATGGGACAGTTATCTACTACAGGCGATGCATGTGAGTTGTGCTATATCCTTAGTTGATTGGAATTGTGTATTAACACTCCAATTTAGTGGTTTAAACATTAATCATCCGTGTGTAAGACTGAGAGTCCTAGGTTCGACCCCCTGTTTAGGGGGTGGTGGGTGCGCACTTCTTAAGAGTTTCATTCCAGGAAGTGACGACTGCCCATTGCTTCCAGATTCTAGACTGTGGTCTAACCAATACTCAGTCCATGTAAAAACTGTATTCTACACAAATCCTCAATATTAATAGTATTTAATTGACCAACAATTTTTCACTACTATTTGTGATGTCTAATTCTGCATTCCTTTTGACTTAACGAATTGTTATGTCATGGAAACTTCGTTTACACTTTCAATAGGTAGACTTATGTAATTGGTGGCTCCATTATTCGTCGTAACTGTAGGTTTCTTGAATGTGTGAGTATGAACAAATGGAAATCTGTGTTTTAGGATAAATTAGTTATTACTAACATTATTGTGAGGTCGTCATACATTAATTAGCTGTCCAAAAATCAACTTGTCGAGTATCGTATTCATCTTTGTCCCAATGGTTTGATGCCGACTACAAAATTTAGTGCTAATAAAAACCATCAAAGAGAAATGTATTTCAATATTGTTTTACTCGGAAGTATATTAACAATTTTTGTAATGAATATTGCATAGTAATAAGTAGTTAATATTTTATCTATGAGAGATTTTCTAATCAAAGAATTATCTGTCAAATTTATCAACTTCAATATTCTTGAGCTTCTTACACTACCGGAAGTACAGTTTTTTTAATTATGTTTCAGATTCAAATGTCGTCGTTGTGTCAATTCTGTACAGATAAAGCCTCCACCGGAAGGAACAGACTGTAATTCAGATTTTTCCCAATGGAATCATTGTTACACGAAAAAGACTTTGAATGATTCAGTACTGAAAGCAACTTGGGATACTGGGTGCATATCATTTGTATTTTGGCATTATTCCCATGAAGAACAACGTAAAACTGTGTAGTATTTCTGTTTTGGTTGGTTGTAACTTGTGATTGATCTTCTTGATTTTTTATTGGTTCTCTTATGGTGAATTCGATTTGCAAAATTTTCTTGTCTTTGTATTCAGTCGGAAGACACTAGGACTCTTTCTGTACTTCTTTTACAATACATGTGTTTTGCTTATTTCAGCTTTCATAACTTTATCTATTCAAAGAGCGATTCGGGAAAGTTTGCCACACATCGAATGTTGGTTAAGTTGGAATTTCACTCCGAATATGTGTTGAGGTATTATGACTGCTGACTCGATGCGGTTTAAAGGAGTATACAAATTAAATACTAGAGCGCTATGCACCACGGGCTAGATTATATTGATAGGTTTTTTCTAAATGAGCAAACTGTATAGGTTAATTGTTTGGGTTCTGTATGGCAATTAAAAGGTACGCAGTTAACTACTGGCGATCTTTATCAAACGATTGTCGTAAAAATGGTAGGAGTCTATTATGACCATAAAATCATCGCGGGTAAACAAAAATTTTATACAACAATTTGACTTTGGCTAATTTATTGATTTAATCTTCGTCCTCCAACACAAACAGATGGTTATAATTAGTGCTTTTCTGGACCCGTCATTGGCTGATACTAAAGTCTGTCGGGAATGTGAATGGGGTTGTCCTCCAAACCTAGATTTATTTCTCGACACAAGATGGTATGGTATCTTTCACGTGTTAGTAAGTTTAATGTGCTATTTATTATTTATTTGAACACATAAATGTTGGTACAAGGGGGCACCAGATATATATGCGCCACACAAAATAATGATAATTTGAAGAGAAGGAGAAAAAAAGTAATGAACCTAGGGAATTATAAAAAAAAGAAAGAGAGAGGACAATAATGGGGGAAACGGAAAGGTACAATCAGAAGAAATCTTTCAGTTTAGGAAGAAGCGACCATTCTTTACGAAGAAAGTAAAACAAGGTTACAGCAGGATCGCCATTGGCTTCTATTCTGAGCCATATCTGATAACGTCTCTAGCCACTGTGTTACACCATCTCTCGGACCCCAGCCAGGGAGTCGTGAAGGGCCAACAGAAGCTAGCCTTTTGCAGATTTCTTTCATACCACGACATCACGTCATACACTGACCACCTCTCCGCTTTTTCCAACCGATCCCAGAGTCGGCAAATAATGCACGACGTGAAATTCTCTGGGACGACATTCGTAGAACGTGTCCAAGTCACCGAAGTCGGTGTTTTAAGATGGTGACACCAATTGGACCATCGTCTTTGTGCCTGAGCACACGATGCCGAACCTTTGCATTACTAACATAGTGTTATCACTGAATGTTATCAATCATTCGGAGACAGCGATGATCGAACACAGAGAGTCGTCTAACATCCTCAACTCGGAGAGGCCAGGTTTCACAAGCATAGAGCAAAGCTGCTCTCACCGACGCGTTGTAGATCCGACCTTTTACAGCCAGACTAACATCACGAAGGCGCCAAAGATGGCCCAGATTGGCATAAGCCGCTCTGGCTTTCACTATACGTGCATTGATCCCATCACTCACGCCACCACCAGCACTTATTCAGCTAGCTAGATACACGAGCTTCTCGACTGCTCCTATCTGCTCACCATCCACAGTGAGTACAGGATTAGAATCTTGCCAGTCTTGTAGAAGTACTTTTAACTTCGAAGGTGCAAAGCACATGCCGTACCTACGGACATTGATTGCCAACTGATTAATTGCGGATTGCATAACTTTGGCATTCTCGCATAGTAAGACCATATCCGCATACTCAAGGTCGAGAAGTCTTTCTCCAGGCGACAGATCTACACCACCATTACTTAAGCCCATCCGAGCTGTTTCCAGAATGTCATCGATGGCAAAGTTGAAGAGGAATGATTTTCCTTAGAGAAATAATAACTAACTTCTGACTTATTCATATAATCTGTCATGCCCTAATTCAATAGACTTTGAAAGCACACTCCTTTGGCACATTTCTGCACAGCTTCTTTAGCCACTGTGAATTCGAACTGTACTGGGCGCCTAATTTTTCGCGTATATTATTGTAAAGGAAAGGCTAAAAATTTGTTCTGGACAGCCATATTTAATGACACCGTCAACAATGTTCTTCAAACTATGTACATCATAGACTGTGTCCCCTACCGCAACAAATTTCGTGTCTCAATAGATAGCTATTCAAACTATCGCAAATACTGTTGGAGAAGATTGTGTGCAACTTTGGTTGTACCAATAATTAAACTGATAATAAGAGATGTTGAAAGTTTCTGCACAGTGATAATGGTAACTTACTACGTAGAACTAGAGGACCTAAGCACAATAAAAATAGCCTGCATTCAGCTGCGATCCGAACGAAAACATTAAGCATTTCCTTTGGAAGTCCGAAGTCGTGTGTTGTCTACAACACTACAGCTGCACTTATGGACGCGCAAGTAGAATGGTCCATTCGTATGGCTGCTTGGCTTTTCGTAAAAGGGTTAAAGCCGTACAAGGCAAACATAAATGGAATTATATATTAAATAGTGCTACTTGATATGATGACCTTAGTAACTTAAGAAAGAATATTGCTTTTAAGTAATTAACCTAATAAAGCATGTTAGGGCTAGGACGTATTTAGTTGTTCATTAGCAACTAACTAGGAGAAAACGTGAACACGATATATAACGATATTTAGATAATTCGATAAGATTCCTCTATTTGTCGCTTGTTATCTTATTTTGCTATATGTAGGTTTGAAGGTTTGTATAAAACTCATAAAAACATTATAACGAAGCTATCTACTAATAATACAAAACTGACCAGTTACTTTCCAAACTAAAAAAAATTGACTGCTTTTCAACCTATTTTAATCCTTACAAATGTAAATACAATAAGATTTTGTAGGCCTTAATTTCATTATATTTGTCTACTGGGGCTTAACAACAATCTACAAAAGTATACAGTCACTAATAATTATTACTGATGGATTGGTTTTCAGTTTTATTCCAAAATTATTGGGATTAAAATTACGTTAAAAAATCTAACTGGGCAGCCCAATCAGTCTCTCATCTTTAGTTCAACGGAGTGTGGAATAATAATAGCGAAGAAAGAATTGTAATCTACGACATATTGATATTAGGAAAGCAAATAATTTTTACACAAATCTCGTATATTTTGGAGGTTCCGTGGATGATTCCCAATTTAAAGGAACTGTTCCTGACCTATCAACCAGAAACGCCATAAAACCATTCAAAAACCAATTTGACGTTTTCAAAAGAGGGTTTATTTTCTCAGCACCCTTTTAAACCCGTGCTGGTTGTTTTAGTCTTGCAAATCTATTGGAAATTTCGATAATGATCATAATTGTTTGCTAAGCTTCCATCAAAAGTAAGATAAAACCATCTTGTACTGGCCATCAATTCCAGTTGTCTTGGAAACAGCATCTAGAAAGCCAATGCTCCTTGCACAGCTCAAAGCAGTAGTTATACGATTCAAGGTTTCCAGTCATGATTGATCCAGTTTCTCAGAATACCCTCCATAAATTATTTGACAAAGTCAATCAAACGCAATATAGAGCTTCACACATGTGCAGATGTTGCTTAATCATCCTTTATTATTTATTTGAACACATAAATATTGGTACAAGAGGGCACCAAATATATATGCGCCACACAAAACTATGAGAATGGGGAGAAAGAGAAAAAAGGTAAGGACCGTAGAAGAAAAAAAGAACAATAACGACCAGATTAGTGTAAGGTAGTGTAATGGTAGTAATAATGGGGGAAACAAAAAGGTACAAACCGAAGAAATCTTTCAGTTAAGGAAGAAGCAACCACTTTTTATGAAGAAAGTAAAACAAGGTTACAGCAGGATCGCCATTGGCTTCTATTCTGAGCCATATCTGATAACGTCTCTAGCCACTGTGTTACACCATCTCTCGGACCCCAGCCAGGGAGTCGTGAAGGGCCAACAGAAGCTAGCCTTTTGCAGATTTCTTTCATACCACGACATCACGTCATACACTGACCACCTCTCCGCTTTTTCCAACCGATCCCAGAGTCGGCAAATAATGCACGACGTGAAATTCTCTGGGACGACATTCGTAGAACGTGTCCAAGTCACCGAAGTCGGTGTTTTAAGATGGTGACACCAATTGGACCATCGTCTTTGTGCCTGAGCACACGATGCCGAACCTTTGCATTACTAACATAGTGTTATCACTGAATGTTATCAATCATTCGGAGACAGCGATGATCGAACACAGAGAGTCGTCTAACATCCTCAACTCGGAGAGGCCAGGTTTCACAAGCATAGAGCAAAGCTGCTCTCACCGACGCGTTGTAGATCCGACCTTTTACAGCCAGACTAACATCACGAAGGCGCCAAAGATGGCCCAGATTGGCATAAGCCGCTCTGGCTTTCACTATACGTGCATTGATCCCATCACTCACGCCACCACCAGCCCTTATTCAGCTAGCTAGATACACGAGCTTCTCGACTGCTCCTATCTGCTCACCATCCACAGTGAGTACAGGATTAGAATCTTGCCAGTCTTGTAGAAGTACTTTTAACTTCGAAGGTGCAAAGCACATGCCGTACCTACGGACATTGATTGCCAACTGATTAATTGCGGATTGCATAACTTTGGCATTCTCGCATAGTAAGACCATATCCGCATACTCAAGGTCGAGAAGTCTTTCTCCAGGCGACAGATCTACACCACCATTACTTAAGCCCATCCGAGCTGTTTCCAGAATGTCATCGATGGCAAAGTTGAAGAGGAATGGTGAGATTGGGCAACCCTGTCTAACTCCACTGCTTGAATGGAATAATGGAGAAAGGTGGTTGTATGCCCTCACGCTGCCTGAGGTGTTTGTATATAGGGCTTTTAGGATGTTGATAAATTTCTAGGGCACACCCTTCCTTGATAGACACTCCTAGATAACAGTCCTATCCAACGAATCGAAGGCTGCCCTGGTGTCAAGATACACTACGATTGTTGGCTTTTGATAAATATGGCGGTGTTCTAACACTTGGCGGAGGGTGAAGGTATGATCAATACATCCTCGACCGGAACGAAACCCAGCCTGCTCCTCACGAGTCAATACTTCTCGGGTTCTGAACAACCTACGAAGTATGACGGAAGCCAATAGCTTGGACGCAATCGAAAGTAGGCTTATCCC